GAACAGCTCGATCTCGCTGCAGCTCTTGAGCTTGTTGCTCTGCAGGAAGAACACCAGGCGCTCCAGGGGCAGGTGCAGGAAATCCTCCTCCTCGGAGATCTGCAGGAAGTGCCTGAAGGTGAAGGCGTCCACGGACTCCTTGAGGGAGGCCAGGCTGAAGGTGGTGGCCATCTGGCCGATGTTGAGGCACGTCTCCACGCTCATGGCCGACTTGAGGAACTCCTCGCACAGCTCCACCACCGGCACCATCTGCAGGAAGACGGCGGCTCCCAGCACGTCCTGGATGCAGTCGAGGTCCAGCGTGACCTCGGCGCTGTAGGCGAAGTCGATGATGTGCTTCAGGCCCCTGGCAGACACGCCCTTGAGCTCGATCACGTCCTGGCTGGCTTCTCTCATGCCGCCCGTGAACATGGCCCTGCAGGTCAGCAACACAAACAGAAACCCCCCCTGCTTCAGCAAGAGATGCAGCACCTCGGAACTGGGTTTTATTTAACACTCTGACTCTCCCGGGGCGGGGAAGGGGGGAATAAATCAAGGCTAAATCTCTACGAGCCAGGAGAAATGAGAGTGTGCAATGACTTACATAAGGCTTGCATAAACAGTGCACTGAGGAGGAATATTCAGCAACTGGAGAAGTTTTTCAATCCCACTGGCAGCAGGAATAGGAGCAGACCACAGGACCAAGCTCCAGAATGAGGCAGAGCTGCCAAAGCAGGGAGTGAACAATTCTGGACACCAATGAATCCATGATATCCAACCAAAAAGGATCCCAGGGGATGTACACCAGCAGACTGGGAGCCGTACCCTGAAGGGTTTTAGGCGGTTTTAGGTTTAGGATTTGGGGGCACAAGGAGGGAACACACCTGTGGTGGGAGCTCAGTGACTCCTGGCAGCAAAGCCTTTAGGCCCTGTTATCCTTTACCTCACAGGCAACTACGAAATGGCTCAAAAATTGCAGGTGCAGCACATCTCAGGAACAGCTTTGGTCTTCCAGCAGAACCTCCCCTGCAAGGCTCCCTCCCAAGGCCTGGAAAAATGGGAGCTGCAGGCCGGGCAGCAGGGGGCTGACAGGCAATTAAACACAAATGGGGGGAAAAGGCTCAGTTACAGCACAGCTGCGAGCACAGCGCCAGCCCCGGCCAGCAGAGCTCAGGCCCTGGATCTCCTCCTTGGGAGGCTCCCCAGTTGCACAGGAAGCACATTCCACACACCGAGGCCTGGAGGCTGCAGCTCCCAGCGCCGGGNTCCACACAATCCCACCTGTATTTATGGGAAAATCCTCCTGGAATCTCCATTACTGAATGCACCAAAAGCACCAAACCCATTTAGTGTCAGAGTATCGGAGAGGCTGTGCCCAGCCCAGAGCCACAACTGCACAAGGGTCAAGCAAAATTTATGATCCAAAATATTTATGGTCCACAAATATTTGAGTCTCTGCTAAATTTAGAGCGGCCAGAAGATTTCCAGCTCTTTTGATGAGAAATAATTATTTACTCTGCTATAAAAAGAACATTCCAGCACCAAAGAGCTGCAGAGCTCTGATCCAGAGACCTCCAGACTCTTTCCCAGCTCCTGCCCTGGAAACTGGAAGGAACAGGAATGGCAATGCCCGGCTGGCTTTGCTTCGTGGCAGGCAACTGTTTAATAAATAGAATTGCAGAAGGGCATTGTGCATCCTCCTGCGTGCCAAACAACATTTCCAACAGGAAGGAATACCTGGATTAGGTTTATTTTTGCAAGGCTGTCCTTAAGAGTGAGACCAAACAGGCTTTTCCACGTTTTCCAAGGATATTCCTCTTTCCCCCCAGCACACACACACCTACAGGAGAAGCCTGAAGGGAAAAATAAAATAAATAAAGTTTGGTTTCCTCAGGAAGAGATGCCAGGGATGGGCTGCACATGGATCCCTGGGATGGGAACCACAGCTGCACATCCAGAAAATCTCAGGGGTTCCAGAGCACCCAAACCATGCACTGCTGCCCCAGGAATCAGGGAACAGTTCAACTAAAACAGGAACATTTAAACGCTGCAGAATTGTGCAATTCAGTACTGCAAACCAGCACAGGGGAAATTCTGCATGGCTTTTGTCTGAAATTCAGATTGCCAGCACCCTCCATCCCACCCAGAGGGGCTCTGATCCCCTGGATTCCAGAAAAATCCCTGAGCTGGGGAGCTCACGCCTCACACAGACCCTCCAGGACCCATCAGCACAGCAGACATTACCAGTTGTCACTAAAGGTTGCAGCCCAGGATTTATTTCAGAGCAGAATGCAACAGCTTCTCCACAAAAGGAGACCGCGTGCATCCAAATCAAGCTGACACAGATACAAAACAAAGCCCTTGGAAACAGAATTCCTGATAAAAGCAGAGGTTTTCGCAATTCATTCATCAAATTAAATAAGGAAAATGGCTTGGAGGAAAGTTCAGGAAGCGTCCTGTGCAGTGAAGATTTTACAAAAATGGCAGAGCCATCACAAACCAACCTCTCAATTGAAAATACCACCACAACAACAAAACCACGTTCCACTGGGGCTCCCATCCTGTGGGGACGCCAAGCAGCTCCTCCACGTGGCAGGGAAGAAAACCTTGCAGCTGCTGAGGGAGTAGCACCCACCTCCTTTACTGGAGGAAGAGTTGGGAAAGGTGAAAACCCTGACCCAGAATCTGCGGGAGCTCTTGGCTTCGCTGACTGCAGAGCTCTTATTGCCAGGACAGCCAAATTTTTGGCACTTCTAAACCCAAATAATCACGCTGTTTATATATAATCAAGCTTTCACCATGGCTCTAGTGCTGCAAACCCCAATTAAGGGAGAATTTCTGCACTAGAGGAGCTGGAGGGGGCGAGGAGCCGCAGCGTGATCCGAGCAGTGAAGACCAGAGGTGTGCAGGGATAAATATTCCCTTTTTCAGGAAAGGGGAAAAAAAAGGAAAAGTCACCTTTGAAAAACAGGGATCTGCCTTCCCAATCCAAGCACCTGAGCTCCTGTAGCTCCCACTGTCCTTTTATTGCTTCTGGAGGTCAGTGTGTTACACAGGTTTTGGTTCTGTTTTGTTTTTTTTTTGTTTGCTAAAAAACCACCACAGCGTCGCGCGATGATTTTTTTATTTTTGGAGCTATTGATAAAAAACCCTCACCTGATCTCTTGGAAACAAGACCCCAGTGCTGAGTGACTCCTGAGCTGCCAATGTTTGCAGTGCATTAAAAATACGAAAAGTTGGCAAAACGCTCCCCCCACCACAAAAATGGCTGAGAGAGGAGAGAAAAGCTTTTCCCAGCTGGAACATCTGTTCAGCCTGCCTGGCTGGCAAGTGCTGCTGCTGGAGCTGGCTCGCCAGGAGGAGCAGGGACGTTCTGAGCTGTCCTGTCCTTCCCCGTCCCCCAGAGCCCCCCGAGTCACCTCTGGCTCGTCACCTGCGGGAGGATGACGGGGGCGCAGGCGATGCCAGCAAACGACTCTGGGAAGTGCAAGTCCCTCTCCCACTCGTCCGTCTCCGTGTTGTAGACCTGCACGATGCTGGTGACGTTGTTGAGGTGCCAGTTGTAGCCGCCCACGATGTAAATCTTCTTGTCCAGGAGGCAGCAGCCGGCCTCCGACTGCCCCGCGCGCATGGGGCTCACCGTGGTCCACTGGTCCGTCTCGGGCACGTAATACTCCACGGCCAGGACGTCGAAGCAGCGATCCACGTGGTCCATGCGTCCCCCC